GGTGGCAAGAGTTGATGCTTCGTCGTCGGGCGTTCAAGAAATAATTTCAAGTGTCCATGAGCTTGAGGCCAGCACGTCTGGTTGATCAGCTGGACGCATACAATTTACTGGCTGTTGGGCGGCTGGGATTCATTTTCGAGGCTGCAGACCATTGAGTGCTCCTCCTCCCCCCAGCAAGAAGTCTCGTGAAGCTGTTGGGCGAAGGCTGAGAGTGGGGGAACAATTTTGGAGAAGGAAGGAGCCCAAGGGCAGAAAGAAGGGAGAGAAAAGAACCCCTGACGAGCTGGGTGGAGGGCGGCAATGGCATTGGCCGCATCCGCAAGTTTCGGAATTCAACTCTGCTGATAAGCCTCGGAAAGGGAGACTTGCATTTTGACGACGCGGTGAGTCGCACGATCGGTTCACTGAACCAGACGCATGGCAGGCTGCGTGACAGCGTTGTGAAGGACCGGGCTCACAGGGTTCCAGAACCTATGAGTTGAGTTCTGCACAATCCCAGGTCGTTGAATTCATTGAGCAATTCATTGGGGAAGCCGGCGTTCCTGGCAACCTTCATGGAGCTTCTGGTTAAGGCTATGAGGATTTGCCGACCGCATGCCCTTTATCTTTTCTGGAGGATGCTTTGTTGAGACGGGCAACGCGGACACGGTGGAGCTTCACGCGATGCAGCCGAGGGCGATGGCAGAATTTGCATTCCGTCATAAAACACCAAGTGATGAAGACTTCAGCCGCTGTTGGCGCACCGCGCAAAAAGATGCCTGGAGACTGTACCAATCTCCGCTTCGCCATATTCCACACGCCGGCTTCTTTTTGGTGATTTCCAGTGGGCATCGGGGCAAGATCGTTCATGCACAGATGAATTGTGATGCTTTGTGCTGTGGGACATTACTTTAGGATATGAATGCGATCTGGACCTAACCAAACGACTACCAGCGCAAAATCCTGTAAGGCTGTGGCTGGAACTGTGCTATGCGTCGGGAGCTTTGAAAGTCCGACTCAATAACGTTCTGATGTATTTGAAACAGTTGTCGCGTGTTGCAGTTGGCACTACAACTTCACATAGCTTTCACACTTGAGAAACCCAGCCGGTCTCTGCTCTGGCTGCATCCTTCCGTCAAGCGTGTGACGTGTTGCGCTTTTGGAATAGTTTGGAGGAAGCTGACAGGTGGACATTGACTTGACTCCGTGGGTCTGTGACTGCCGAGGTAGCAAACGTGGAATTTGCTTTAAGGAAAGCCGCGCCTTGCCCTTTCGAGCGAAACCAATGGTGTCTGGAGAGCAAAATCTGCTGAACCATATCCACTAAGCTTCTGCCGGCGCTTGGCCACATGTTTTGACAATGGAAGGCTGGCACTGACTGCACAAGAATTCGGTCACCACCTCCTTTGACGGCATACCATGGGGCCACCTTGGCGAAGTCGGGCGGCAAACTTTGGCAATGAAGGTAAGATGCCTTTTCTTCGAACTTGGCCTCTTGTCGTTAAAGTTTTCTAAGCAATGCAAAACTGCTGGTCACGCTGCCACGGAAAAAGAAGTGCAGCGGGTCGTCACAGTCTTGAAACTCTTTTGATTGAGTGGATCTTCATTGCAAGACGCCCCGTTGCTGTCACGCTCCAGTTCGCCCAGAACCCACCCGCCCTCAAAGGGTGACAGTGGCGGGCAATGAAGGTAAGGTGTTTTATTCAAATTTGGCCTTTTGTCGTTGAAGTCTTCTAGAGAAGGCAAGACTGGTGTGATCACTAGCACCAAAAAAAGAAGTGCAACGCATAGTGTTTTGTTTTTAAGGCCGCTTGGGAGACAGACAGTCACAAGCCATCGGATTGCCAAGACGAGGCTTGCACAACGTTGAAGCTAGAAATACACATCCATAACATACAGTATCAGCGACTCAACAGCCAAGAAAAGACATGAACAACAACAAAATAGACGGGCTGCGTTCTGCTTCCGTGCTGACTGAGGATTTGTACTCGAAAAAATCAAGACAGCAATGTCATAAAATGATGCCACTTTTGACCAACTGAGAGAATCGAGGAGTGAAACAATTTTGTTTTTTCTTGTCATTTGTCAGGCAGTGATTGTTTCTAGTGACATCAGGTGACGATGGTCTTGGGGTCTTGACTTTTGGGGTTTGTGAGTCACAGCCAGGCTTCACACTTTCCGAAGTCCAAGAATTCCGAGAGCTCTTCTTGGAAGTGGATGAAGGGACAGGGGTGCCTTGGCATGTCTTAGGATGTGTACAAAATGTTCTGCCTCGCTAGTTCCATTACATGAATGAATTCGATCGAATAACCTCAGTCAGTGTCAAAAACAAATCTGTGGGTGAACAAAGGTGAACCAAGCGTTCTTCTCTCCAGTGAGGGTTTTGGTCTAGAGTCTAGTTCCCACTGTGTGAACGATTTTTTCTTGGGTTTTTGTTAAGCACACTAAGAAGCTACTAGGAACAAGTGCATCGCTACTAGTAACAAGTGCCTTACTAGTAGTAACAAGAAGCTAGTAGAAACAAGTGTTTTTTTTCAGGTCGTCACCTTCGAGGCATGCCGGTCAATGATCCACAGGTACCTGGGCGGGAGTCACCAAGGGTGCCACCAAACCTGTTGGATCATGTCTCGACCTGTTGCACGAGTTCAACAAGATCAACATAGATTTGACCAAAGTGTTGATGGAATCGATGAGGCAGGCAGTGTCCTTGAATTTGAATTGTCAGCTGCCGAATTTTGGGCCAGTTCATGAGTGTAGTCACGCCAATGTTGGTCCTTAGTTTGTTTCATTTCGAGGACCCGCGTGTACTGCTTGAGTTGGGGTGATCAACCAAGTCACGAAAGGTGGCTTTAGCTACCTGAGTTCTCCTTGCTTTAGCAAAATTGTATTCTAGTGGGAAGCTTATGACCTGCTATGAATCATCCTCGTCCTCATGCATTTTCCATCTCACCACATGCACTCATCCTGATGCAACTGTCTTTTTGGGGGGGGGCATACTCTGATCAATCCTGTGACTGAAGAGTAGACGCACACCCTGCTTACCTACTGGCTCTATCTACTGTAGCTATGTGCTATACATTACTATAGCTTGGGTTTGTCCTGCAACAGTCAGTCAACAATTATCACTATTTTAGAGAACGGCCTTTACTAACCATCATCATCATCATCATCCACTGTTGCTGGTCATAGGATAGATCCGAGCTTTTTTGCTACTTTTCGGAACCCGATCTCAACTTTGAGACCTTCAACTGCAAAAGTAGCGATGCCAGGAGCCCCTAGTAGCGTCCTTAAGTAGTAGCAATGGGTGTGTCGATTTCCAGGGTTTTTGGGTCGCTTGGAGATTCACCCATGTTCATCCCAGCTACTTTCCTGCATTGTTGGTATCAGGAATAATTGGGCACCTAACGCAACCAGATGTAGTTATTGACGCAACCCTGGCGGACTCTCTGACGGTCTCCACACGTCTCTATTGTCCGATCCGACCAGATTCTGCGAACATCTGCGAACACTGTTCTTCGAAGCAATAGCACCGGTGAAAAGGTCTCCTTGGGAGCACCCCAAAGAAAACTCAAAAAGCTTGCACGGCGAATTTCATCGAGAACCTGGTAATGATAATGATAACAGTAGACCCTTGCAACATGTCCTTGATTTAGGGATTCATAGATTGCTGGCTAAGAAGTGTTTTGTGTGGCTGGCTTCAATGTGTTTCTTGGTTCTGATATTTGTAGGCGGGGTCAGCAAGTTCCAACGTGTGGTCAGCAAGTGGCTTCCATGTTGGAGGCCATCGCTATGAGGTTGGAGGCCATTGCTATTATGTTCCTCGCTATGAACGTCTCGCTTCTCAGTAGACGGCCCCCGGGGATTCCCGATGTGATTCTCAAATCTCGCTGGTGCGGGCTGAGGATCACTCCTCTGGGGGACAACCTGACTCACCAGCTCAAACGGATCTTCGAGATCCAGACGAGGCCGCAACGGGGATTTTTTTCTAGCGTCCTTGCTCCTAGTCGTACGGCCAGGAGCCCCGTTCGTAGCGTCCTTACTCCTGGGTTTTTAGTTTAACAAGGATGTGGAGGGTCTGTGTGAACCTTTGTCTCTTGTGTTCGATTGTTGGCCGCTATATCCCTACAATTCCCCACGGAACTGTGCTGCCATTGGTGTTTTCAGGAGATCCAAACATGTCCTTTGGGCAAAAGAGAATGCTGGACAAGATGTAGAATCATGATTCATGCCAAGAATCACAGAGAAAAGACTTGAGCCCCTAGTAGCGTCCAAGAATGACAGCGTCAAAGATTGCGGCCAGTCGCGAAGCAGTTCTCAGCGAAAATCACCATTGGACACAGAAGTCACTAGGAGCAAGGACGCTACTAGGAACAATGGCTTCTACTGCGGGCAGGAAGAAGCCTAGCCACCGTGCCCATGAAGCAGACTTCCCGGAGTACCTGGGTGGTGAACGGGCTGGATTCTGGGAAGCGAATTGGTGGGGCCATGGCGGCCACCCCCAGGATGGTATCGGTGTTTTTTCAATCTTATTTCACAGTGGAGACAAATGGCTGCGGCTGTGGGTCAAAAAGATCCCTGAAAACATCTCAAGATCCGTTGTGTGACCAGTTTTTGGGGCAGTTTGTGTCATACTTCCGGTGAAAGACAGGTGCTTGGTGTCCGGACTTGAGCACGGACGTCCATGACGTGCATTTTACATCATTTTACAGAAGGCATAGCAAGGTCAAGGGATCAAACAATTTCGAGCAAAAAGGGGGACAAATATGAGGCTTGGGCTGAATGGGACGAGACTGGAGCTTAGGCGGTTCCATTCTGCGAAGTGGACTGCCACTGGTCACATGTGTGTCACACGTGTCGAAAGCCGGAGCTGGCGCTGTTTGCCAAAACGCGCACAAAAGCTAAGTGAGCCTTTGAAACAGTGACGAATTGGAGTGTGCTTGCCAGACCCAGGCTAACTCTGGAAGAATCCGGACATATTTGATGTTGATAAGCTTTTCTTTTACACTTCAACGGCCTTTGGTCTAGCCAGGAGCCTGTACATGCACCAAATTGGACGGGTGGTAATCGGGGCCCATTTGGGCCTCCGCAGGCGGCACACACAACTCCGCAAACGCTTCAAAGTCCGCAGGAGCATCCAAAGGAGCAATTGATGGCTCCATTTCCGCCAGGTAGCCTTGCACCACAGCCGCAATTGCTCTGCAAAGTGCAGCCGGGTAGGCTTTTAGTGCCGCCGTTCTCCATTGTCCGTTCACACGACCAATGGATACCGTCAGGGGCACCACATCGCGCGTGCGAAACTTTGCCAGAATGCCATCAGCATTGGGCGGAGGGTTCACAATCAGAAAAGTGGTCGGTTTTGCCGACTGTGCACCAAACAGGCCCTGCTGTACATGACAAAGCCGGACATTTGGAAAAGCCAGGAGCAGCTTGATCACAGCAAGCCGCCAAATAGAAGGCTGTTCACCTCCCAAATCCCTCGGATGTTCCAAAAGGAAGAAGCCCTGGCTGATCAACATGGTGACAGCAAAACGAATTGCAACTCCCAACAGATCATTCCCTGTCGAGACTTGTCTTACCTCCCTCAAGCGAAGCTCTGGTAGGCCTCGAAGGTGGGTGGCATCACGGACAGGAAGTGGGCCTCCATCCTCACATCCATGGGAACGTGCTCTGCTCCACGTCTCGCATGGAGGTCCCGCACAAACAATGCGCAGTAGTCCACAACGAATGGCATCCTTGAACTTGTTGAAGGTTGTTGGACATAACAAGTTCCCCCACGACTCCGAGAACACAATGTCCACACTCAGCACCCGAACACAGTGTGGTTCTGGAACTTGAAGATCTTCGAGGAAGGACTGTAGGTCACCTTCACGCCGATGCCCGGAAAATATATGCGCCATGAGCACTGGTCTATACTTTAGTACCCGAGGCACATCTGGTAGCTTTGGCAAGTCTTTGCACCATTTCTCCCAGACTCCATCAAAGGACAGACGGGGCAAACTTCCCTGCTTCCCAGCAATAAACCATGAAGCGGTGGCTGATGTCAAAAATACCTGATGCACTTGTTCCCAAAAGGATTGAGCACAGTTCGCTTGACATCCAGCACTCCACTGAGTGAAAAGTTGTTTGATCTCGTCCAAGTGCAACACCGTTTGCATGGTAGCCTCTTTGAGGGCAGACACAGTGATATCAACACTCGAATGGCTGGAGATCTGCTCAATGGCACGTGTCCATAAGGTCCAGAGTTCAGTCTCAGCCTCCACCATAGGCGGCTCATCATGAGGAAGACCAGGTGGCAAAACCGGACCTTCTGCTTGAATTGGAGGCATCCAGAAAGCAGGTCTTTGTTGTCCCGCAATGACACTATTCATGCCCGGCTCCAAATCCGCAGTCCAACCCCTGCAAAGCGCAGAATTGCGACATCGTGTCTGGTAGTTGAGGTGGTGGATAAGCGCCACATGCGAGGCATACTGCTTCAAGCAGCTGGGGCATTGAGAGCCAACTGCCACACGTCGGCCCATAGTGGTTCGCCCATGGACTTTAAACGCATGAACACTCCAGCCTGCCTTGGTTTGAAGTACTGCTGGCAACGAATACAGCCATGTTGAGTTGTTGTCGATGCAAGGATCTCAGGTCCCGTGGTTTCACACATCTGGTGAAAGTCCGTGGCGATTGCGTCACGCCATTCGTCCCACCGATGCACCAACGAGGCCTGTTCCAAGGAATGCTGAACAGCACGTGAAATCAACTTTTTCCACCTAGTGGGAGAAGATCCAATATATTGCGACCAGGAGGTCCAGTCCTCAATCAGTCCCCCCATTCCCAGCGGAAAACGTCGTTGAGATTGGAGCCAATCAACATCTGCTTGTGCTTGTTGCCACCACGAACTGCCAAGCTGTAACAATGCCCAGGTAGCATCGGTTGCTGCCCCCTCGACATGTGCTAAGAAGCGTAGGCGGATGGAACGTAACAGAACCATAGGCGGAACCAATCCAATTTCTTGCTGAAGCCTCTGATCCGTCCATTCTCTGACAGCCAAGCCTGCGTGGATCATCGCAAATCTTCTATACAAACCACCTAACTTGCGACCCCAAGCGACATTGACTGCCGTTGTAAAGGGGGCCCAGGCTGCCACATTACAGAAAACAGCTGAGAGGATCAGTGAGTCAAATAGTAGCACCTTCTTTCTCAAAGGCAAAGCCTTGTTCCCAAAGATTGCCACACGAAACTGACCAAGCCTTGCCTGTGCGATGGCGAAACGAGACTTCAAATCCAGGAGTGGTGAGTTGTTCTCAGTCAACCACAGACCCAAGTGCTTGTATCGTCCAACCAAAGCAATTTCATCTGCCGCAACTTGTGCAACTGTCTGGAGTTTCTGATCATTTTGCACAAGTGCCTTCTTGAGTCGTTGGCTACCACATCCTCGCAGTTGCAACAGCACCTCACTCTTCCCTTTCGCCATATTCGGCGACATCCCAAAACAAGCAAGCATGTCCATCAGGAGGCCCGCAGTCTTAGAAATACGCTGGGTGAGATCCAATGGGGTGTCCCCTTGTTGCACAACTGCAATATCGTCTGCCCAAATGGGTCCAAGATACTCTTGCAGTCGCTGTTGCTCTCCTGCTTGTGGTGAAGGGCATCCAGTCCAAGGGATTTGCACCAACAGGCCATACAACTTCATCTTGTCTTGGACAATACGAAGGATCCGCGTCAGCACAAAGCCAAAGACCAGGTCAGCATATGAATCCCCTGGTCGGGTACCTTTGGTGGTGGCCGTCAGTGTTTTTGTGCCCAGTACACAGTACCAGGTATTATCGAAGGCATCCTGATAGATGCGCTTCAACTGTTCTGGAACATCTGCATCATCAAAGGCAGCAGGGGATTCAATCAAGGCCAGGAAATCCTGATAAGCAGAATGCCCAATTCCCAGCTTGTCAAAAAAGGCACACAATCCAGCTGGCGATTGCAATCCAGGAATGGCATGTTGCCGAACGACTCTATAAAAAGCGTTTTGGATGTCGATGAAAATCACACCCGTAGAAATTTTCGCTTTCGCACGATTGTCCAAGAAGAGGTGCAACCCCAGTGCTGCCAAACCAACCGACTGTTTAGGTCTACCTCCAAGCTGATGAGGCATAGCATAAGGCTCAAATTTTTCCATGAGCGCAGACCGAAAGAGCCTATGATGCGCCTTGCCCAAAGTAGACGAGACCAGCAAACTGCGATAAGACGCGCAGTCATCGGAGGGTCCTTTACCTTTGTAGGCCGCCACCAACAAGCCGCCTTTGTATAATAGGGGTTCTGTTGCAGTCAAGGTATGCTTCAGGAAAACAGACAGTTGCAAGTGCCCCAGCAGCTTTCCTCAAAACCTCCCCAGGAATGAGGTCATCAAAGTACGCTCTGCCAGGAGTCGTCCGTCTGAGCACGGCCTCTAACTGTGTCAACGTAGGAAGATGCGACCAGTCAACCACACAAGGTTCCGCCTCCACCTTGCAGTTGGCCACCAGGTCATCAAATTCAATTGGTGCACCACCTTCCTGTTCTTGGAAGAATTCCCTCCATCTTTCAGCCCAAGCTTCGTATGATGTGATATGTTCGCCAGCTCCATTTTGAAGCTTGGGTAGTGGGAGAGTACCTCTCTGTTTGCGTCTCCCGCAGACACCAACATTTTGTAACGTTCGATGGAAATCATTGGGAGGCCAGTCACAGCCTTTTCTGCTACCTCGTGGACATAAGCCGTTCGATCAGTTCGCAAAGCCTGTCGCAGAGTGTTCCGCGTTCTCCGCAAAGCTTCAGCTGTGTGTCGAAGCTCCATAGCTGTATGCCATCTGAGCGGCCAGAGTTGTTCATGTGCCTCAGACAACACCATGTCTCTCGCCCAAGCCAGAAAGGCAATACTCATGTCATACGATGCGTTTGCCCGATGCAGCATTCTCAAACGTCTCTGCAGCACCATCCTTTCCTCCCTGATGTTCCAAGTCGCTGCTGGATGAAGGTTGCCCGAGGTGGGTGTCTTGCTGCAGGAAAGCGTCTTTCCAACCACGCGGAAACTGCTTTAGTCAGTCGCATGGCATGGTTGTGCACATTGACCTGCCATGGGATGATTGGTAAGTGAACTTGCAGATCTTGAACGTCCTCCTGCGACATATGTATGATCTTCTGTCGGTCGAATTGTGGCAGTTGTCTCTTTTTTGTTTTCAAGTATAGCAGGTGCACCCAAACTGCCAGCGGTGAGTGATCCATATCAAGAGTCCCAGCATCCAAGCTCGGCAGCAAAGTGCTCCATTGTCTAGAGGATCTCCAGTCCAGGGAGAGTGCAACATAGTCACATCTCGCGGAAACTTTGCCATTTCCCCTTGTCCAAGTAATGGAGGATCCCACCTGACAATCATGCCACGTAGAGGGCAAGTACAAGCCAAACTCCTGTAGAAACTGCAAGAAGAGCTGCGAGGAATAGCTAGCCTTACTCTCCAACTCGAACTCTCCCACATGCGGTGGCATAGTCTGTGCAAAATGAGTGTTAGCATCCAATCCACAAACCAGGGTGTGCTGTCCTGGCACAAATGCACCGCGAGTTTTGATCATCAGATCATTCCACCAACAGACATGCTCACATTCCGGTCGACTGACATGCGGTGCATGTCCGGAAATGATGAGGAACATCTTGTCCAAGAGCTTAGCCTGCAGAATCAGTAGTTCAGGAGCGTCCCAGTGAACTATCACATCCTCTTTTCGCAGCAACTGCTTCGACGTGCCTTTCAACATACGCAAAAGCCAAATTTCACAGCCTCCACGTCCATTGTTGGCAGCAGCTACAAATCGAAAGTGCGTGGCCGATGGGAAAACCCCTGTTTGCTTGGATCTCGTCTCCTGAAAGCATGCAATGTGCACACCATGTGAGACGAGCTGCTGGCGAATGTACTCACATCGTCCAAGGAATGATCCAGTCTGCCTCACTGCGAAGAAAGAGCCTACATTATACGTGAGGACCCCTAGGTCAATCTTTGCTTCGCCTACAACTGTCTGATGTAGTCCTTCCACAACTGGCTGCAGAAGGACCTCGCGTTTGTCAACTGGCGAGAAGACAACATCACTTCGGAGTTCTTCATCCTCTAATTCAGGGTACGAATCATCCATGAACGCTGATTGCACATAGAGCCATAGAAGCTCAATCGGCATAGGATCCCCAAATAAGGCATCCTGCAGGGCAATTTGAGGAACCCCCAGGGGTGGATCCTGGCCACATCCAGCCTTGGCAAGCACATCAGCAAGCTCATTTCCCAGGATGGCAGAGTGAGCTTTGACATGGGCAAAACCCTGCTTCCCTGGAAACATTGCCTGAATAGTTTGGAAGATTGCCCGCACCACTCTTCCTTGAACACAAGCAGTGCCAAAATTCCAAATACCAGCTGGATATCCACATGAGGCGTCAAAATGGAAACAGACATTCCCTTCAAATGCTGAAGCCAATCTCCACACTCCTGCCTGGAAGAGCGCTGCTTCGAGCTCCGCTGCTCTGGACGAATGAGCGTCCGCCAGGTGCCAACGCTCATCAAGGACTTCCACCACCTGGCCACAGGCAGCATGCAGCAGGAATTTTTGTCCAGCCGTGCCATATCCGAACACCACAAAAGTCCAACCAGCTGGCAGATCAGCTTCTCTAAAGAAGGAGCCATCCGTGAAGATGTCAAGCGACACAGCCTCTTTGATCGTGCCAAGGGGCAAACTCAAGAGCTCCACCAATAAGCTAAGAGGCAAGTCGTTGGCAACCGATGACAGATCCGGCCATTGACAGCTGAATGTGTCAGTCAAGCTCCCCAAAAGGGTCTTCAGTCCCGGCATCTTCAGGACCAATTGACACGATGAGCCAGTAGTCATTAACTGATAATCTTGAACTATGTACTCACCTGCCTGGTAATATCCATCATCCAGGGTGTGAAGGTCTCCCTTGAACAAAGCCGGGTTACCTGGCGGTGGCAATCCAACAAAATGATCACGAAAGACACTCTGTGAAATGTTCTCAGAGTCTTGATATGACCACAAAGACTTTCTCCAAGAACAGTCAGCACTCAACCACTGATCAACCCGCCCACAAAACGACCTATTGTAGGTCAAAGGAGTTGAAGCAAATGTCATGCTCACAATCCAACAAAAATGGCGACAAATGATACTGGGAGCGCATCCTTCATGGTCTAGTCGACCTGTGGGGAAAGCATGCCTCGAAGGAGAAAAGGCACGATCCATCTGGGAAGCAAACGAATGCTGCGAAGCAGGCTTACTTGCTTCACTGAAATACACCCCAAGCTGGATGAAGGAAACATTGTTGTTGTCCGAGTAGTCCGTTTCCCATGATGACAGGAAATCATCAGCAGACGATGTTCCACTTTCTGATTCCAATGCCAATGTACTCGAACATGTAGATTGGTCTGAGACATCAAAATCCCGTGCAACCTCATACAACGAAATGCGGACTCCCGCATAGAAAGCGATTGTCTCAAACCATCGATAGTTCGCATTCTCGATGCGCACATAGCAATCATGTGTCCACAAACATTGGTGCAGTGGGTTCACCTCATGAAAGAGTTGTCCAACTGCAGTGAAGCCATTTGGTCGAAAGGCCAAGAAACTAGCAGTCCAGACCTCCCCCGTTGGCATGTGATAGTGCAAGAGGACTGGTAAGTGATGTTCACTGTCCATGTCTGTCACAATGAGGACTGGTCTTGGCACTTGCTCAACGAACGGAATTGGCCTCACAAACGTCCTATGCAGCTCTCTGCCATAAAGGACATCCTGCCAGATCCATTGTAGTCTACGTTCAACATTTTCTGATCTGATGAAGGGCCAAGAGCGCAGATTCCTCACTGGGTGCATTTGTTGCGCAAAAGGATGGAACCACATATCCACAACAATTTCGAAGTCACTTGTTGCAGAGAAGATGTAGTGGAAGAGATAGCCTGATGATAAACCTGTAATACATAGAATGCAAATGAAAAAGACGCGCAAAGAATACAATTAATTGACTAGGCATTATCAAGAACAGCACGTCCAAGAAGCCAAAACGAGAGCGTTTTGCCGCATGTGTTTCGCATGTGTGTGTGGTCCCCTGTTTGTTTCGTTGTGCTTTTTGAAGAGGGAGCATTCAAAATAATTCTCCGGCTTGTTGTTTGCATGTTTCGCTTTTGCTGTTTCTTTTGCATTTTTGGCGCATGTGATCACATGTATACCTTTTTCTTCTTGAACTATGTATGGAGATATGCTAACTGGTGAACGCAAGAGTTGGAACGTTCTTCGCGAAGAAGCCCGGTGCAGCCTCTACTTGTACCTTCGACTTTGACGAAAAGGAGCCTGTTCCACCGCTGCAGGCATTGCAGTGGACCTGTTACTTCTGTCACTTCACTGACAGAAAGCATGCTCCGATTGCAAAAGGAAGGTTGCAACGATATGCATACATGAGGTAGTTCACTCAAGATGGCCAAGCTTTGAATGGATCTCTTTCCTACCCTCAAGATGGCCTGCTCAGGAACCCTAATTTTCTCCTGGAACGGCTTTTTGATCAGTTGCTAGTTGATCACAGACCGGAAGGCCGTCCCGTGCACAGGGCGACCTTGTGTTCGCTGTGTTTTCGGGAAGCGCGAAAGATAGCAGACCCTTTGCACCTTTCATTGGCGAGCACATGCAGTGTGTCATAAGGAGCTGAGCTTTCGTTTGCTTTTGCCCCGACAGCAGCAGTGCTACCGAGTTGTACGACCACTTGTAACCCAGAACCATGCTACTGACGAATCGATCTGCCAAATACTTATTGCATCTTATAACTTTTTAGCTGCTTGAAGTACCCTCCTCAATCGCTTGAAGAGTTGATGGACAAGTGTATAGAGCTCAGGGCTCCGGCCCAGGTGACACTAGCTGGCGTGCTACTTGGATTCGTAATCTGCTCAATCACCGGATGACATCGGAGCTCCAAGGATAAGCTCGCTGAGCGATCTTGAGCGTTCTTGGCTAACTCTCGTCATCCTTCCATATCTTAACCAGGTATCCGAACACGAAGACGAAGGTGTCCTCAATCTCCGAGGTTCTTAATGCTCATGAAGCAACTCTTGGAGATGAATTTTGCCCAGCTGAGAGAGAAGACCACTGGACCCAGCTAGTCGCTGATGAGGTTCGCCGACACGAGTCGGTGGAGTTGAAAGGGAGCTGGAGCGAAATTCCCATAGGGAATCTACAAAGGCCACCTGAAGGATTCAAACCATTAGACTTTTCTTACTTCCTTTTCTTATTTCTTTGTGTCTAATGGCGATGGCCTCCAACCTAGTAGCGATGGCCTCCAACCTAGTAGTGAT